CCATATGGATAGGCTGAGAATTTACATAGCTTTAAATTCCACTTCCTTTTTTATTAACAGGTCTGTCTTCAAGTCATTTCTCTCTTTTTGCATTCTACTGTAAGCAATCAAGAGGAACCAAACCACTTCTTCAACATTTTGCTTAGAAACCTCCTCAATTAAGTATCCAATTTCATTGCTCACAACTTCCACCTTCTACAAAACACTGGAATTGTAACACAGTTCAGCCAAGTTCTTGCCCTTTTATAACAAGGATCGCCTTTTCTCTGTTATCCAATAACACGTTCCTCATTTTCATGTGGGACCTCATCAGGATGGCCTTTGCTTTCCACATATCTACTAGTGTTCTTTCTGCTCAGGATCACTGAGGTTTTCTCTAAGAAGATGGAAGCTGTCTACAGCTCTCCTCTTCTTTCTGAGGTCTCACCAGAATTGCCTTAACAGTTCTTTTCATGACAGTCTAGGCCTTTTCTAGCATGTACACAGAACTCTTCCAGTCTCTACTTACTACCCACTTCCAAAGCCACTTCCACGTTTTCAGGTGTTTGTTACAGCAACACCCCCACTTCTCTGCACCAATATCTCTTGTTAGGGTTTTATGGGGAAACAGAACCACTTGGATAAATACTTATTATTAGGGGTTGGCTCATGTAATCATGGAGGCTAAGCCCTATTATCTGCCATTTGCAAACTGGAGACCCGGGGAAGCTGATGTTCTAAGTTCTAGTCTGAGTTTGAAGGCCAATGTTAAACCCTGGTCTGAGTCAGAAGACCTGAGAACAAGAAGCACCAATGACCCAGGATAGGAGAAGATGGATATTCTAGCTCAAGCAGAGAGCAAATTTACCCTCCTCTGCCTTTTGTTCTATTGAGGCCCTTAATGGATTGATTGGCCTTATCCAATCTTCTTGACTCAGTCTACTGATTCAAATGCTAATCTCTTCCAGAAACACCCTCATAGACAGAAATAATGTCTTGCCAGCTATCTGGGCATCGACTTGGCCAAGTCAAGTTGACATAAAATTAACCGTCATATCTAGTTAATATCATGTCCTTCATTTCTTGATGTTTCCTGCTCTTTTCATACAAGAGGGAGAAAATTTCCATGCCCATTATTGTGAGCATATCTAGTCACCAAGGATCAGAATCCACTGTTTGGGGGATGATGAGTGTTAGGCTTGCCGAGGAGGAACACATGAGGCCAGAAGAGAAGGTAAAGGCAATTTTATTAGGGCATCTGAATGCAGATGGGCTGAGCCACAAATGGCATCAGCCCGGAGTGGTTGGGGAGGAAGACTAGAGGATGTAGGGAGGGAACTTTTTGGAGCTCACTGGTTTTTCTGAGCGGGAGTGGAGAGCTACCAAATTTAAGAACAGGTTGTTGTTTGAGCTCATCTAAAAGTTACTTTTCCATGCAGGGAGTGGAAAGTTACCAAGAGTAAGGAAGAGGTGGTTGTTTGAGTTCATCTAAAAGTTACTTTTCCCTGCAGGGAGTGAAAGTTACCAAGCGTAAGGAACAGGTTGTTGTTTGAGTTCGCCTAAAAGTTACTTTCTCATGCAGGGGAGGGGTGAGCCCTCAGGAATGTTAAGTTTTTGTCCACGTGTAACAATGAGAAATGGAATAACAGAGATAAAATTCCATTTCGTTTTGTTTGTTCTGAACTGCTTGGCTTTATACTAACACTTTTACAGGGGTCTCTACCACGTGGATGAGCTGGGAAGTTACAAAGAACATACATTTATAATTCTGCCACTAAATAAAAAGTCTTAAAAAGTCCCATTAGTTAGTGAAACAAGGCAGGCTTCAGAAATGTCCTGCTATTTTGGGGGGGAGGTTATTATGCGTGATTAGGTGTTTAACTTTGACTTTTGATAGCGATTTCTTTATAAGTGCCAGGGGGATGGCTAACCCAAACTCGGGCACATCCGTGCAGTGGAACCCCACTCCAGCATAGAAAGGACTACGACGCAGCACCATGCAGGAATAGCAAAAACATTTATGCCGAGAGAAAAAAGAGTTTATCAAAAGCATGCATACTGTATGATTCTGTTTATATAGATTCTAGAACAGACAAAACTAATCTTTGGTAAAAAAAAAAAAAAAAAAAATCACAAATGTGGTTGCCTTGAGACGGGGGAGCACTGAAGATAGACCGGGAAGGGGTATGAGGGAATTATCTAGGGGTTATTAATACTCTTTATCTTGATACATAGAGGGTTGGGTAACAGGGATACATGTATCTCTTAAAATTCACTGAATGTATTTATGACTTTATTGTATGTAAATTTAACCCCAAAATATATACACAAAATAATGCCATACATGCTGAAGTGTTTAGGGGTAAAGTGTACCGATACCTGCAGTTTACTTTAAATTGTAATAACTACAACGATGGATTGATGGATAAATACACAATAAGACAGAGTAAAAACTTAGATTCTTTCAACTTTCCTGTAGATTTAAAAATTTTATAATGCAATGTTAAAAATATAATTTCAGAACAAAACCTATTAATATTAAAAAACCACAAAGGGTACTCTGGTTAGTGTTTTTTGGTGATATAATATGCTTTTAAGCACTATCATTAGAGAAATTAAATTACTTGTCAAAGCTAAATGAGAATTTATTCCATTACCTTTTCTCCAAATGAAGCCTAAAAGAGACATTTAAAATTATAAACATAAGGATTTCTTTTTTTTTTCTCAATTTTAGTTTATATTCAATATTATTTTGTGTTAGTTTCAGGTGTACAGCAGAGTGGTTAGATAATCGCATGCTTTACAAAGTGATCCCCCTAATATTTGAAGTACCACCTGGCCCCATACAGTTATTACAGTATTATTGACTATATTCCTTAGGCTGTACTTTTCATTCCCATGACTATTTTGTGACTACCTATTTGTACTTCTTAATCCCTTTAACTTTTCACCCAGCCCCTAACCCCCATCAGTCTGTTCTCTGCATCTACGAGTCTGTTTCAATTGTGTTTTTCTTAAGATTCCACATATAAGTGAAATCATAAAACACATAAGGATTTCTGATGCCACATGAATCCTTACGAAATTAAATTTATAATTAAAAACTACTTAGTTTTATGTTTTGACTATGCATCCTTTCATTTACAGTTTTTTTCTTTTGCTAATCTTTAGGTTCTGAAATGCAAGGAGGATGCTAAGCAGGCGCTAGGCTTCAGTTAAGAAGATAATGCACTATTTTAAATGACCTGATAAGAAGTATTGTTGAAAATCTTGATTTCTGGGTACAGATAATACCACAGCACTTGACTTTTATACCATGAGAATTATTGGAATTCAGGAAGCCTGGATTCTAATTCAAAATGACTGTGACAGTTTAGAACGTTGTATTTTTTCAAAGGAACACAGTTCAGTAGGAACATGTACGAAAGTATACCCTTCAGGACCAAAAAGCCATAAAAAAGGGAATGAATGTAGGGTGTCAGCACTGCGTACAGTCAGCTCTGCTCACTGAATAATCACTGTTCCTTGTGCTATGATTGGATCCAGCTTTCATGTTTAAATAATACGGAGAAATAAGTACAGGTTTAAAGAGGAGCAGGATGACTAAAATTACCAAAAACTGCTCCTCTGAGGAAAATCTGAGAGAAGAGGAAATTCCATAAAACTCTTTAAGATTGAAAAGGCCCAAGTTTTGCTTGTTTACCATTTTCAATTACATGAAGTGTTTTCCTGAGGAGAGCCTCTGAAAAACTAATAAGGGAAATGTATTTAAGTTGAGTACTGGTTCGCTTGTGCAAATGGAAGAATCTCTTGACTTCAAGGTTGATTAAAGTCTGGGATAATTACCAAGAGATGCTATGGGATCTATATCCCTGGAGAATTATGTAAAGAAACGTAATATAAAGCCTGAGGGTGGGGGCAAGCTCAGAGGACCTGGGCAAGGACCTTCCTGGGTCTTCATTTTAATGACAATGTTTCACTCCAGAGTAACAGTTTTGAAATATAGCTTGGTACTGCCTTACACTTTTTTTCCGGGGTTTCTATAAGAAAGGAATGACAACGTTAAATTTGCTTCACTTAAAAATTCACTGTATTAATGTACAGCAATGTTACTGTAATTAGCAATACTGCATTGTAGACTTGAAAAATTTGCTAAGGAGACAGATCTTAAGTGTTCAAAAGAAAAGAAAAAATAATAACTGTGAGGGTGATGGGTATATTAATTAGCTTGGTTTCAGTGATTATTTCAAGGTATATACATATCAAAACATAAAGTTACACACTTTAAATACAATTTGTATTTGTAAGTTATGCCTCTAGAGCTTGAGAAAAATCACTGTAATGATTCTTTTCATTGGACTTGTCTCATCATAAATGATTGCATATTGCTTGGGTGACTATTTGTTCTTAACTTAGTTTCTGTACTTTAGAATTATTATAAAATAATTATAATGTATTCTGTTATTTTTCTCTTTAATGTTATAACATTACCATTAGGAGGAAATTGTTATATTTAAATCATTGTATTTATGAGTATTTTCTGTTGGTGAGAGGGCCGGCCCTACCTACGTATGAGTCTCTGACATTCTTTGCTATTTTAGCCCACCAAGTCACCATTTCACCATCCAGGGCCAGTTAAAATGAAATGAGATAAAAATGTCATTTTTGGCCCGGCCAGCGTTGCTCAGCGGTTGAGCATTGACTTAGGATCCAGGAGACTGTGGTTCGATTCCCGGCCCAGGGCACATGCCCGGGTTGCCGGCTCGATCCGCAGTAGGGGGCGTGCAGGAGGCAGCCCATCAATGACTCTCAGCATTGATGTTTCTCTCTCCCTTTCCCCTTCCTTTCCTGTCTCTGAAATCAATAAAGATATATTAAGAAGGAAAAAAAAAGTCATCTTTCTGAATGATTTCTCCTCTTTCGGAAAGTCAGTATGGCAAAATCCTTTTGCATTTCCCGTGGTCGTCTCTATCCTTGGTCTCTTAATTTTATTCCATGGCTCACCTTTATTCTTTTTGCAGAGAAAAACTTGCTTCCTGTTGTAATGCTGTCCAAAACCTCATTGTCTCGAAAAAAAACACTCCAGTTGGGACTAACATGATTTACGAGGCGGAACGTCAGTACACAATCCTAATTAGAGAGAACATTTTTAATATGTTCCCCGTGGTGAGTAAAGATTTGTTGTGGTTTATTTGTGTCACTGTTCCACAGGTGAATTTTCTCTCACTTCAAGTTACAACTTATAATAATGGAGGAGTTAATTAATTAAAATACCATACTCTTGTATAAGATACATGGCCCATTTTTAAAAGGCTCTTTTGAATGCCTGGTGGCTCTGCAGGGGTTGGTATTTATAACTTAAATGATAAGCTCTCCCACTTCTCGAGTCTTCATGACTCATCCTTGAATGAGGTGAGGTACTTACTTGGGCTTTCTGCATAGTAATTACTGGGGCCTGGAAAGAGGACCATTTTTCACCTGGAACAAGGTTCTTCCAGTTGTCAGTTTGGGTGACTGAGTCAATTCCTTTACAAAGAACTGTAGGTTTATGTGGTTAACCTTTGGGAAGAAAATATGTAAGAATTTTTGGTCAATAGACATTAACCTCTATAGACAGATTTTTGCCTCCTGTGTTTACTGATGTATCCCAACCTCCTAGAACACTCCTTAGTATATTTGTTAAATTAATTAATGAGCAATGATACAGTATCATTACAAGAAGAAATCTGTCCCTTAGTATAAATCCAAAATTGGGGGTAATTTTTGTCAAGAAGAACATACCATTGCTTAGAAACACACTTTCAGGAATCTTTTGTAATTGACTCGATTAAAAGTAATTAGGCCAAATCAATATGGTCAAAATAGGATCACTTAATATATACAATTTACCAAGTGTAGACTATTAGATTTTTACAATTAAATTTTTTGAAACTTTAACTTCTTACAACTAATTTACTGTCATATAAGTTGCTCCAATTTTTAAAAATTATTACATTTCAAAGAAAGAATAATTTTTTGGGAATAAACGAAAATAATAGAAACAATAGGAAACAAGTTATACATTTTTTGGAAGACAAGGAGGGCAAAGAATAACTCATAAAACATTATAAAATGCCCTCAGGATGTATTGAAATACCAATAATTGGAAAGATAAATAAGTAAAAAATATATTTCCTATCAAGGAAGGCCTGGGAGAGTTCCCCAAGGAGCAGCCCCTTCACCTATGCAACTTTTGCTAGTGCTTTTCTTGCTTTGGACTGACCAGAACAGAGGAGTAGCAAGTACTTCTTGCTTCTAATTTGCACCTTGAAAAGAATAATTTGACACAGGTTGGATAATTCTGAATGCAATTCACAACATTTATTTTCCAAATTTATAATTGATTTTTAAAAATTGGGGGGAGAAATTTCTGAAGTCAATCCAGCAGCAATTGCAAAGCTGCGTAGCAGTTTCTGTGTTGCTTAAACATTCCAGGTTCCATGGATGTGGCTCTTGGGGGAGCCAGCCTCTTTCCCACCTTGCCTCCTTCCAGTCCTCCCTGCTCAATTCTGCTCTGCTGCACTCAGCTCAGAACTGCTGGGTAGCGCAGCAAGAGATCTAAATAGATGCTTTTGATTAAATGTGAAATCACTTTCTCCAAAAACTTTGCTAAGTAACTTGCAAAGGAAAACAACAAAGTTGGATTTCAACCAGAGTGAGCAATGCACAGACACTGGAGTTGGACCAATTTGCATTTTCTTAGTTTATGTTAGGGAATATTGATGTTTGTAATTTATTTAAACTCTTCCTGAACACTTAGATCCCAAAGCATATGGATGTTTTCCCCCAGTTGACCAAAAAACCAGAGAAAAACATACATTATTTTGACTGCTTAATTGGATATATGCTCCCCTCAGTAATCTTTTCTTTTGTGCCATAAAGAGCATATTTGCATTCTACTCTATCTATAAAATTCAGAATTTATTGTAGTACCAGTTAGTAAACACTGTCTGAAGATATCCTGAGCTAGAAGTTTAGTGACTTCAGATTCCCTGAGGTATTTAGGAACCATTCATTTAAGAGCTAGGCAATGTGCTAAGCATTGTGGATATAAAGAGAAAAAAAGCATGTGCTTAAGTTAACATTTTAGGCATTGAATGTCAGGAGCTGTGTAATGTGTAGGGGTTAAGAGCGTGGACTCTGGTGCATGGGTTTGAATCCCAGCTCAGCCACTTTCTAGCTTTAACTCATGCTTCCAGTTTCCCATCTGTAAAATGCTTATACCATTGTTGTGTGGATTAAATGCCTTCATGAGTTATTCACTTGGTTGCCTTGCATGATAAGCACTTTATGATTTGTAATTTTTAAAGACAAATCTAGAAGTGCTGAAATAGAGTTCTCTTTGCTTGCTAGATATCTCCCAGGTGCACCATCAGGAACAGGTGGCCGTCACAGTGATTCAGGGGTCTGCTGGGCTGCCCAGACCACACTGGCCCTGGGGTGTTGCTAGTAGCGCTGGTAAACTGGCTTTGGGGTGTTGGGTGCCCTGACTTGTAGCATCTGCCGATTTTAGTGCTGTAAATACCCCCACCGTGACCAATTTTAATTTACCAATGGTTTAACAGCCTACTCACAAAATTCCTGAGTATATATCAGTTGGCTCTCACAAGCTCCTCACAAGTGNCCAATTTTAATTTACCAGTGGTTTAACAGCCTACTCACAAAATTCCTGAGTATATATCAGTTGGCTCTCACAAGCTCCTCACAAGTGGGCTTCAGCACAGTGTGGGGGTGCTGCACCGGGGTGGGACACTGAGCCAGCAAGCACTTATTTAGAAGTCACTGCACACATTGCACTATGTTAGGTCTGCAGTGAAAGATAAGGAACACTGAAAAATAATAAACACACTCTGCCTTGAGGACTTACACTCAAATTCTAAAGAAAAACAATAGGTGAATCAGGACCCTGTCATTGTAGAATATGACTGGCACCCTTGCTGCTGGTGAAGGTCACGCTGTTCCTTCAGGAAAAGTGACCAGCAAAGGAGAGCTGTAGTGTTGAACTGAAAAGTTGTGTTTCAGACTGAGGAGGATTTGGTGAAAGTGGGAGTCTTTCAGGGTAGGCAAGTTGGGCCCTTGGAAAAATTTTAAAAGATTCACGCCTGGGAAATGAATTTGAAATATACCACCCCAGAGTGAGTAGGCCTCCCTGAAATGCCATGGCTGGTCATTTGCGGAGATGGCAGGCATAAATCTCCTATCGTCACTGAGCCTGAAGGCCTAACTATTTAAGAAGCATGGGAAATTTTGCTAAATTAGTTACTAATTTTATTTCCCAGAATAGAGGATTTTACATGACTTGCCAATTGCTTTTTCCTCCCTCTATTTTGCTGAAAACGTTCCTGTTGGTAAGGCACAATGTTGGATTTTTGCCGTTCTAATTTTATTTAATTATGTGATGTAAACTGCATTATATTACATTTCATATACAAATATATTTTGTATTATTTCATTCTATTGTATGTGATATGCTGTATATCGCTCTGCAGAGAAATAACAGGTTTAGGAGAGTTTTTTATTTTAAGTCATAAGTTGATCGACATGTTATATGGTATTGCTACCTCTCCTTTTCTTGTTCTTTCCCTTTCCTTAGCATGTGTAAAAATTAAGCTACCTGAATTAAGCCAATGATATTTATGGTTCTAAAAGTAAGATATTTCATGGCAGTTTTTACTTCTTCCTGCTAGTCGCAGCCTTTTGTGGAGCGCCCTTACAATCAGTGTGCAGTGGTTGGAAATGGGGGGATTCTGAATAAGTCTGGCTGCGGAGCTGAAATAGATAAATCTGACTTCGTTTTTAGGTAAGACCTGCTCAGCTGCTTTCTTTGACCCAAAGATCAGTTGGATATTTTACAGGGTCAGTATAAAGATACTCTGTAAATGTTGACCTTTGAGCTGTGTTGTTTAAGTCTCCAGATTATTGTGGTAGGCTTTCCTGCAGTGGTAAGTGGATCATTAGTTCCTCCGAATGCCAATACGAGAATAAAATGTTCTGTGATCATTTACATTTCAGAAGCTCTGGGTAAAATCATGGTAAAGGGGGTCTGCACTGCAGGATTTGTCAGAGCCTTCAGTGTATTAAGGATATCATGGCTCCCTGAGAGGACTCTATGGAGCAAAGAGCATTTTTAAAAGTTTTGTTCTCAGGTAATATGAGGGAAAATGCTAGACTAGGCATTGTACAGCCATGCAACATCATTGTTTATTTAGTTTTCTGACTTGAAATTAAAAAATGTGCGCAGCTTCTAAACTATGCTCTTTTTAAACATATCTCAGTACTAGCTAACTTGCAAAAATAGAAACAAAAGTGGTTTCCATGTGTGCCTGTACTCATAAGCCCTGTTACAGGGCATCTCCACTTCCCGAATATGAAGGAAAGGTGATTCATCCCTGGGAGGATGGATTTCAGTTGAAATGCACCTTTTTTAAAGTAAATCTTTTTATTAATTTTTCGAGAGAGGAAGGGAGAAGGAGAGAGGGAGAAACATTGATGTGAGAGTGAAACATCCACTGGCTGCCTCCTGCACGCCCCCCATCAGGGATCGAGTCCACAAACCCCAGCATGTGCCCTGACCAGGGATGGAGCCCACAACCTCTTGGTACATGGGGTGACGCTCAACCAACCGAGCCACACTGGCCAGGGCTGAAATGCACCTTTTAAAAAAGTATATTGAAATCTCTTTGTTCCTATTTCAGGAACACTGATTGTATACATCAGAGGAGATCCTTAGATCCTTATTAATTCAATGCTGTCCTTTTTAGCAAATAGAAAAGAAGTTGATCAGTAGTTCTTCCTTCACTTTAGTCTCATTTAAAATTTTTATGCTGAAGGTAATGACAGAACAACAGACCCAGCAGTCCAACAGTTACAGGGTGTGTTCCTCATGATGAATATTAAAATGGCCAGCACCTGAGTGATTTAGCCATTTAGTTAAAGCACTCAGTACTAAAAGGCCATCATGAAGATAAATAATTCTTATAATAAACTTTTGATAGACTTAAAATTCCTGAAATATCTGTGGAATCATGCCTAAACACCCATTTGACTTTATGCAAATATAGGAAATACAAGTTTAGTTTAAAATTTTTTTTTTCATTCTCAACAGCTACTTAGTTTATAACTTTAAAATAAATGCATATATTTCTAGAGTCTACATTTCCTGACTCTAGATTCCAGGTATCTTTCTGCATATAGATTTTCCTTTGAAGTTTACCTTTCAAAGTAAAAGGCAAAATGAGAGCTAGACATGATTGGTGTCATTAAAATTTACTTAGTTTTTAAGCCTGTACTTATTTCAGCTGTACATGTTCATATTTTATAAAACAATCTTTTTACTTTTTATTACTTTTTTTTTTTTCCATTTTAAAAGATTGGGACCTATCCGTTAAAAATGTAAGGAAAAAGGTGATGAGTGGCTTTCCTATACTACTGTATGTATACAACACCCAAGGTTTCTTCTAGAAGTTTCCTTTGATACTACTGTATATGGAAATAACCTTTTATTCTTCAACAGAACATTGGACTGTCCTAGAAAGTAGATTTGTTACAGGAAGCCCACTAATGAGGTCATTTCTGGTCTGTTATCTCTGATTAGTATTTTTCCTGAAGTGCTATATTTAATTATTTTTGGATATATCTTTTTATCAAGGTGGGATGTGCATGTTTCATTTGTTTGTATGTTTAATAGAACATGGAATAGAATTTTCAACTTCATTATTCAGAACACTTGAACTTTAAGTTGCCTTTCTTAAGGAAATACTCAGATACTCCCTTTGTATGTATAGTTTTAAAGAATTAGTCTACTTGAAATTCTGTAAGCGTTACTTAAAGAGTCATAACTAACTTTCCCCTCTTTTTGTGACAGGAATAAAATTACTCAAAATTACAATTTTTAATTTGTTTTCCAATTTAAAAACAAATTTACTCTTTTGAGTAAAAGAGTACTAAACATCATTAAAAGAACATTAGGATTTTATTAACAGCATGATTTGGTAGGAAAACTATCCATATGGGAATCAGGAGATTTTAATTTTTTTTAATATAATCTTTGTTCTGGCAGACTCTATAACCTTCATCACAATGCTTCAATGTTTAAAATCTGTAAAATGGTCATCATACCACTGTGGGAATATAATTAATATAAATAATAATTTTAATAAGAGGAGTATGAACTCCCCAAAAGCTAGGCAAGGTTTAATTGTCATTTCTACTTTTGTTACTTATAAAGGCCTTAATGTTGAAATATTTATCAAATTTGTATATTTTATGCAATGTGGAATCAACTAAGAGTTCAGTACTTATTAAATAGTTTTAAATGAAAATCAGATGAGTTCTGAGGAACTCTTAACAGCAATGATTTTCTTAAAAAAGCCCAGCCAGCATGGCTCAGTGGTTGAGCATAGACCTGTGATCCAGGAGATCTCAGTTCCATTCCTAGTCAGGCCACATGCCTCAGTTTCAGGCTTAATCCTCAGTAGGGGGAGTGCCGGAGGCAGCTGATCATTGACTCATCATCGATGTTTCTCTCTCTCTCTCCCTCTCCCTTCCTCTCTCCAAAATCAATAAAGACATATTAAAAATAAATTTAAAAAAGTGATAATGGGTGAGGGAGGTGGAGGATGGTATGGGGGGATAAATGGTGATGGACAGAGACTTGACTTGGGGTGGTGAACACACAATATAGTGCACAGATCATGTGTTGTGGAATTGTGCACCTGAAACTTGTGTAATTTTGTTAACCAGTGTCACCCCAATAAATTCAATAGAAAGAAAAAAATATGACAATGATCATATATGTATGAATGTATTTGTGTGTGTGTATTTTATTTTTTCAAGTTGTATTTTGAAAATAATTTTCTTCTAAATTTCAGGTGTAACCTCCCCCCAACAACAGGAATTGTTAGTAAAGATGTTGGCAATAAAACCAACCTTGTGACTGTAAATCCCAGTATCATAAAAATAAAGTAAGTACCTCCAATTTACATAACAGTTCAAGAACATTTGTTCATTGTTTAGCATGTTTCTTAGTCTGAGCACCAATTTTATTGCTGAGACTGACTTGTAATACAGCTGGCATGGCTTTTGGGAGAAATATATAAGAATATATTTGTAATTTTTAAATTTCTATCAAGGTTATGGCTCATAATAAGTTAGGTTATGACCAGTTGTATTTCTGATGTTTTAAGCTGAATGTTGCTCATCAAATGAAAACTTACTATCTCTTCATCTGTTTTTGCAATAGGGAAGTTACTTTTTTCTATTTTCTTTTAGAATGTTAGTGTTACTTTTTTATCTTGGTAGTATTTTCTTGATAAAACCTAATCTATTTGGAAACTTCAGAGAGCAAGTCTTAAGAGGACCTGGCAAAATTTGATTTTCACTTTGGATAGTATATTACTAAAGAATTATTCCCATATTTCATTTTCCACAATATAATTAACCATGAAATGTAGGTTGGTTAATAAAAATTCTGTTCAGTAGTTTTACTGTATTAGTTTAATCAAAAGTAACTAATAATCATTATTAATTGAATACACCCCTCAAATAGTTCTAGTATCTGTTAAGAGAATATAAAACATTGTATCCATCTCCCAAAAGCTTACTTTCAAAATACACACAATTGTGTGATTATTATTTAAATTAAACATGTAGAGGTATCAGTTAAATTGGAGGAAACTTTTATTTACTTATTTGTTTTTTATTTATTTATTATTTATTTATTTACTTATTTATTTATTTTTAAATATGTCTTTATTGATTTCAGAGAGAGGAAGGGGGAGGGAGAGAGAGAGAGAGAAACATCAATGATGAGAGAGTCATTGATTGGCTGCCTCCTGTACGCCCCCTCCTGGGGATCAAGCCCACAGCCCAGGCATGTGCCCTGACCAGAATCGAAGCTCTGTCGCCTTGATCCTAGGCTGATGCTCAACTGCTGAGCCACACCTGGCTGGGTAAATTGGAGGAAATTTAAAAAGTGTTTGTGTGTGTGTGTGCGTGTGTGTGTGTGTCTGTGTGTATTTTTTTAGGTTTTCTAAGGGAAACTTTTATAATCACATATTTACAAAAGGTGCACAAAGAGTACAGTTAAATGAGTTTTTTAAAATGTGTAGATATTTTAAGAATGTCTTATGTTTGAGAAAATATTTCATCATTATAAACTTGGAAGGTGTTTCAACATCACAAAGCAACCTTAGGAAAAAATTACTGAGATTGAAGATCAAAGAATATAAGAAATGTGGCCTGGTTGGGCGTGGCTTGGCTGTTGAGTGTCAACCTAGGATACAGGAGATAGCAGTTGGATTCCCGGTGGGGGCACATGCCGGGGTTGCGGGCTCATCCCCAGTTGGGGGCGTGCAGGGAGCAGCCAATCAATAAGGACTCACTCATCACTGATGTTTCTGTCTCTCTCTCCCTCTCCCTTCCTCTCTCTGAAATCAATAAAAATATTTTTTAAAAAAAGAATGTGCCCGGCCAGGCGTGGCTCAGCAGTTGAGCATCGACCTAGGATCCAGGCGATCCGGGTTCGATTCCCAGTCAGGGCACATGCCCGGGTTGCGGGCTGCAGCTGATCAATGACTCTCTCATCATTGATGTTTCTATCGCTCTCTCTCCTTCTCCCTTCCTCTCTCTGAAATCAATAAAAATATTTTTTAAAAAAAGAATGTGCCCGGCCAGGCGTGGCTCAGCAGTTGAGCATCGACCTAGGATCCAGGCGATCCGGGTTCGATTCCCAGTCAGGGCACATGCCCGGGTTGCGGGCTGCAGCTGATCAATGACTCTCTCATCATTGATGTTTCTATCTCTCTCTCTCCCTCTCCTTTCCTCTCTCTGAAATCAATAAAGATATATTAAATAAATAAATAAATAAATAAATAAATAAATAAATAAATAAATAAAATTAAAAAAAGAATGTAAGAAATGTGTGTCCAGTAAGGGTACAGCCCAGTAAGAAAGTAGAAATTAAATCCAAGAAATAGCAAGAAAGAGAGATTAAGGCCTAACCCTTGATATTTACAAGATACTGTGCGTTTTGTCTGACTCTGTGGTTTGTCCTTTTTATATACAGGGATATACATGGTTCCTTTTTTTGGCCAGAGGTACATTTAGCCTGTGTCACCAAAACCACTACTTTGATGATTAATGTGGTTATTATGATTTTTTTTTTAACTTGGCAGATATGAGAACTTAAACGAAAAGAAAGGAGAATTTCTGGAGGACATTGCAGCCTATGGAGACGCATTTCTTCTATTTCCAGCGTTTTCCTTCAAGATCAACACCGCTCCTTCTTTTAAAGTATACGATGCTCTGAACGAGTCTAATGCAAGACAGAAGGTTATATATTTCCATCCCAGCTACCTGAAGAATCTGGCCAGCTTCTGGAGAACTAAAGGCGTGAAAGAGTACCGCCTGTCCTCCGGCTTGATGATTGCCAGCGTGGCCGTGGAGCTGTGTGAGACGGTGAAGCTCTATGGGTTTTGGCCCTTCTCTAAAACCTTGCAGCACGCGCCCGTTAGCCATCACTACTACGACAACAGATTGCCGAAGCTCAATTTCCACTTTATGCCCGAAGAATACGGCCACATTCTCCAACTTCACATGAAAGGAATCCTCCAGTTACAATTCAGCAAATGTTAAACAGCCTAACCAAAGTGACTGAAGAGGGGAATAGTTTTAATGTAATGCTCTAGGTGAGTAACAGTGTTTCCGAGCACAAAAATTGGTCGTTGTAAGGTATAATAGGAGGAGCCCGAAATTTCGTTTGATTCAAGTTCTCCACTAAGTGTGCGACCTTGGAAACTCATTCCGTTGTTCTGATCTTCAGTTTCCCTGCCTGTAAAATGGGGACCAGGATGTCTAACTCCTATGAGGAAAATGTGAAAATCTATGAAAACTCTTAATGAAGTATTTGCCTGAGGCAGATTCTCAAAGTCTGTTTCCTTATTGGTAATTATAACAACATTTCCACCCTCGCCTAACTGATAATAAAAGGTGTGCTGTGTTGGAAACCCTTCCTGGAGAGAACACCTGAACTGCCAGCACTCACGGATGTTCTTCCTCGGGCAGGTCTCTCTATTATCAATAATATCCTTCTTATCTTTATTTCTTCCTGTCTTAGAGTGCATATAAGAAAATTATGTGCTTAAACAAGAAACCCTTGATTATTCAGGAATGAAATCCTTCCCTTTGTATGCTAATATGCCTGCTTCTGATTACATTCACTTGTGTCATTTGCTGTGATGACTTGCATTGGTTGGATTTTAGGCCGATTCTTTTTTTTCTTTATCTACATTTTAAAATCACTTTTTATATTAACTTCCTGCTTCACTCTTAAGTCTTTTCCTCTCACTGACAATATCTACTTCAAGGATATGAATGGTTACAACATCCAGTTTTTCTTACCTGTTGACTTGTCTGTGGGATCACTTACTCAGTTTATGTTTTAAAAATTATTGAATAGCTACTTCATGCCAACCCTGCAACAAGCTCTGTGAGAGGGATACAAAGATGACTAAGTCCTGCAGGAGGAAGCAGACATGCATGTCATCAACTATGATATGGTGTGACCAATGTTATTACAATAGTTATGGATAGAGAATTATGAAGAACAAGAAGCAGAAATAATTAAATCTACTTCAGTGGAATCTATTTCAGAGAAGAGGTGATCTCTGTATTAAACCTAGATGAGTAAGGTTTTACCAAATGAAGACAATCCTGGGTAGAGGGAATATGATAGAGAAAAAAGCTGTCCCCTTGATTTAGATTCATCAAAACTAACACATTTGAAGGTAGATCATGGTCTTTGCCCCAAAAAACTTCTACATGAGGGTAGGATACTGAGTGTGGGGGTGCTGGCCTGCGCCCACATCTGTGAAGTGGGAATAATACCAACCTAACAGATTTTATAGGAAAGCTGTAAGGATTAAAACATGCAAACTTAATTCTCATAAGGAATGGTGTATGTTTATATGAGAAATAAGACTAATCAATTAAATATCAATCTAAAACGAAGCTTGTGTAGATATAGAATATTAGCATTTTCACACCACTCCCTTACATTATGATGACACGTGTTAATATGGGTCATCCCTGGGGGTTGCAGGGCTGGGTGAAAAAGGTGAAAGGATTAAGAAGAAACACATACACATATCATCCCGGCATCTACTGAATAAGTTATTTGACTTAAGTAATTATGTTACAGGATAGTAAAAAGCTAGGAAAAGTCCAGGGCAGAAGGAACACAAACACTGACACAAAATTAAAGAAGGCCAAACAGATTAGACAGCTTGTAGCCAATTTGCAGCAAAATCTTGAGAACAAATGTCTAATACCGCTCCTCACTAACCAAAGAATGCAAGAAAGAAGGGGGAATTTTAATGCCTCTTCTCTCTAACCAGAGAATATATAGCTTAAATCACCCTGGAACTCTTAAGGCAGGAGGGGGGAGGGGGAAGAAAGAGGGGAGAGATTTATCTCACCTACTAAACAAAGAAGTTAGCCATTTTGGGGAAGAAGGAAAGAAGAGGGAGTTTTCTTCTCACTGTTTAAACAGAAAAGCCAACAGTCTCTGAGCTTGTTAAAGATAAAATCACCAGATACTTCTCATAAATTCTGGGACAGCCACAACAAAGTAAAAGGGAGATGTTAAGAGTTAATCTGTACCGAGATATATGACAGAGGAATTTAAAAACCTGTAGACAGAAAAATATAAGACACCAAACCTCTACCAAGCTCACTTCTCAAGACTAGCTGGGAAGTCCATCTGTGCTTCATAAGCCAGATGTATAGATTTGCTTGCCTTGCTTCTTTAATAAATTTTGCTTTACTTCTTTAATAAATTGTCTTTTCTACAACTCAGTTATCTGGGATCACTCATTTGAATTTATTTCTACGAATCTGACAAGAACTGAGGAGGGGACAGCCCGCTCCCTTCAACTCATGGGGCTGTCCAATAGCACCTTTTCTGGAGTTTCTGGTGCCTATAACAATTATGTGCATATTTTCCTGCTTGTCTTTGTATCATTGCAAGGTGAGCAGAAATAGGAGTGGAATAGACTGGGCAGCATGCTGAATTAATTACAATTCTTAATTCTAAATTCTTACCTAGCTAGATAAATGGTTTACTAAATGTTCACTTATATAAACACCCTGCTATAAATTGCTTATTTTCATAAAGTACGTCTTTAATTTGATTGTAGTTGACATTTGTGATGCTATTCTCAGTTTATACTTTCATTTGTTCTTCTGTAGCAAATGAAACCTATTATGCCCATAAATTGATTAAAAGTTCATACGTAAATATTTTCCAAAAGAAACATGCTTTTAATTACATAAAGTCTAATTATTTTCTTTCTTTTTGTGGTGATGAATAGGTTGCTGATTTTTACTCCTCCTACTGTCTTTCATTAGCTTTTAAAACCTGCTAGCAGTATTGGTAATGTCTCCATCATGTTACTAGCAATGGATTATTAAAAACAGATCAAAACATTCTGATATTTTACAGTTAGTAAAATGTTTCTTTCCAAATATGTCCTGGTAAGAACTTAAACATTTTTCTTTGATGGTATTGGAAATAAATAATTGAGTAAAAGTATGTATTGAAATAAATGATTAAATATAAATATAGAGACTTTATTAGTTATTTTAATAAAAATTACATATGATTAGTAAATTTAGAGCTTACTTAAGTTTTTTCCATATAATTTGCTCTTTTAACTTTGGAAATTTTTTCTAGAATATAAAATGAAACAAAATCTTCAATGCCGCTGATCAGGATTTCAGAAATATTCAAAATGGTTCCAGTAAAAGTTCAGTAGAAAACAAATTTTTAAATTGTGGAGAAAATTGTAGACCTATCAACCTGAACACAACTGAAGTTGATTTCTTGTTTAACATTTATATTAACATTTGTGTTGTCATTCTAAAAGCATGTTGAAATTATACAACAATCCCAGTTAGATTCATATTAGTCAAAAAGAACATGTGTATTTTCTATCTGTTTCCCAAGTGGGTCTGTAGCTGTTATGAAATCTCAACACCTTGTAGTTACCTGCCATGAGCTGAAACTCTCCTCATTCTCTGTAGTGTAGTCAGTGGGCTATGGAGAAATAAAGAGAGTAGGTGGCCTTATTCACATCAGAGCATTTCTTCCCTGGCAGAGGATGACCTTCTACTTGTTCCATTGTGATGTGCCAATAATGTCCTTTTGTTCCTAAACAGAATTTAAAATTTTTTTCTAAAGGAAAAGAGAGCATGAATTTTATTATGTAACTATCAGCTTATGAAAAATGTAAATCATAAGTCACAGTTCTTTTTGTTCTGTAATGGTGAATTATTACAAGTTTTTCCGCCAAGATCAAAACAGAAAGGAAAACTATACACTCCATCTTATAGATTTATACATGAACCACTACCAGATCTGACTGTGACACTCTCCAGGTGTAACGAGCATTGCTTAAATGTTGTTAGATTGGTTGAGTTTGATCTGCTCTTAAACTTCAAGTACATCCGGGACATGGGTGCTATAGAGTACTACACCTTTAGTTGAGACTCGGGCTCCTAAAACCCCATGCCACCAGTTTTTAAGGGAAATACTCGCTTTCTTGATTCTATTTTCTGCTTGTTGAGCAGCATCACTGGGCAATGTAACTGAATAACAAGATTCTAAAAGAATTTCCATCCAAATCTGAAGGTAAGGCAGACATAGTCATTGAAGCATGTAGTCCACAGGGCTTTATGGTTTCTGAAAAGGACTCCATAAACAATTGTATAGATTTAAATTTCACGTGCTAAACTAGTACTTGAAGTCTCTGGTGTTTTTCCCTCCTAACAAAAGGCAAAGCCTAATAGATTATAACTTTCATGAAAGAAGATTTCTTTCTACATATAAATTTCAACCCAGTAAATATGTGGGCTCTCAGCTAGGTATTCATACAAGGACATTTTTTTGAGGACTTTCTATGTATAGAATACTGAATTAAGCCATAAATTAGACCTGTTTGGGGCTAGATTTTTTTTTCCCTTGCTTACAAAAAATTTACCAGTTAAATACGATTATCATGTCAGGTACCCTAAACCATTCCATGAATCTCCAGAATCTTTGGGAAACTGGAAAATTTTGTGGATAATGGCTCTGTTCACATCCTAAATAGCTACTGCAGAAGGCTAGTTACAGCAGAACTTTTATTTATGTAACATGATGTGAAACACATTGTTATGCTCTTAAACAGTAAAGGAATTGCAGAAAGTCACATAAAATATCTTAAGCATTTGACCTAATAAGACTATTTCTTTTTCTATTCTTGATTTTTTTTTTTAAAAAGTCATTTAGAGCTGCTGGGTGAGTTCCAAGTTTCCTATTTGCATGTGGCTTCAAAGGCTGACTCCATGGCAAAGAGTCACCTTTACCCTTTTGAAGATGTATGGGCAGGGAAATTTCTCTTGTCCATCGTATCTTATCTGGGTCATCTCTTCTAAGACCATTCAGCTTTTAATAAAAAATGTGAGTGACATATGATAAATATGCATTGCTCACATAATGGAGGAAAGACAAACCCTTTAGTAGATGGTATTAGAACATTATCTCACAATATGGAGAAAAATTCCTACATTGCACAATAGAAAAAGTTGGACACCAGATAGATTAAAGACAAGTTCAAAGGTAAACTGTAAAGCTAATAGAACTAAATTGTTAGTGACGGGCTGTAATTCTTAAATATAACCTAAAAATAATTTTTTTTTAAATTCAGTCAAGAAATGAGGTCTCTGGCTATATTAAAATGACAGATTTCTAGTCAATGAGCAGCATCTTAAACAAAGTGAGTAGGCTGGTGACAGACTGGAATAGCTTTTATCAATGTGTAAATTAATGACATTAATATAAATATAGAAACATTCCTAGGAACTGCAAATCATAAAGTAAAAGACAGGAATCTCAGTATAAAAATGAACAAAGAATAAGCATGTGGTCTACAAAGGGAAATGTTAAGTAGCTAATAAGATAGAGTGATGCTTGAGATTACTAGAATCTGAGAAATAAAAATTAAAAGATTTATATTACATATTATATTATATATTATATTAATCATATTGGCAATAATAAGGTCATTCATTCTAAATGCTGGTGGAAGTTTAAACCTATTCAACCATTTTGGAAATCAGTCTGGAAGTACTGAGTTAGTCAGATTAATTATTCGTCTGTCCTATGGCCCAGCAATACCACCTGTTGGATACATGCCCCAGAGAACTTTAAGGTCCACAAGGAGACTAATACTAGGATACTTATTTCATTATTGTTTGTGGTAGCAGGAATTTGGGTGCACAGGTGTCTATGTCTCAGGGAATTAATGAGTTAACTTTGACGAATACATAGTATGGAATACATGGCAGCAATTAGAAGCAACTTACTGGATGTATACAGAGCCGCTAGGATAGATCCTTAAAATATAGTGTAAAGGGAAAAATAAGAGCTATAGCACAATGCCACTTGAATACATTAAAGCCTATACATACATACACACATACATATACACATGCATACACATACGTATTCAAGGGTATATATTAAACATAGAACAGTGCCCATTTAGTAGAGAGCGGTGGGAGTGGTTTTAGGGATAAAGGGGAAAAAATGAATAAAGAACACAAGAAAAGGGCCTTGCAGAGACAGTGGCTACTGAGAATGCCATGAACAAAGAGCCTAATGGTTAACTCTCAATTTGAGGCTAAAATAAAATAAGGTCAGAAGGAATAACATATGTTCGTTTGAAAAGAGTAGTTCTAAAACAACATAAAAAATAAATTTTCTGTTTTCCAAGAGGAGAGAAGAGACATCCTTTGGCAGAAAAATAGTAGTGCTAAGGAGGTATTGCTACAGAAGGGGGGAGAGAGAATACAAATGAGCAGGAGAAGATAATACATACTATATGGAAATGAACAGTTATGTTATGCCAGTGCTATGCGGGGTACTTTATATCTGTCATCATGTTTAACAGAGCAAGCCTTGGACACATATATTCTTATCCATACATAAAATAGTCTTACTACCACATAAATATAGAAGCTCAGACTCAAATGGGTAAGTAACTTCTGTAAGGTTATAAGAGCAGAGCTAGCATTCAAACTCACACCTGTCTGACTCTAAAGCCATGTGTACACGCATGAAACCATCTCCACAATAAACAATGTGTGTGTCCGTTACCCCAAAATGTTTTCTTGTGCTACTTTCACTCAACATAATAAGATTCATTCATGTTGTTTGTACATCAGTAGTTTATTCTTTTATAGGCTGAGCAGAACTCTATCATATGGCTACAGAATCATTTGTTTATCCATTCACCTGTTGATGTATATTTGAGTTGTCTCTGGTTTTGGGCTGTTACAAATACAGCTGTCATGAACATTCATATACAGATGTTTGTGTGGACATATATTTTTATTTATTTGCTGCAAATATCTAGGATTAGAATGGCTGGGGAATATGGTCAATGTATGTCTAACATATTTTTTAAAAACTACCAACTGTTTTCCAAAGTGGTTGTAACATTTTGGGTTTCTATCAACAGTGTATATCAGTTGCAGTTGCCTCACATCTTTCATAAATTTTGGTATGTTCAGTCTTTTGTTTTTTTATTTTAAAATTGTTTTAAATTTTCAATTATAGTTGACATTCAGTATTGCAGTATATTACTTTCAAATGTACAGCAGAGTGATGAGGCATTTATATAACTTACAAAGTGATCCCCATGATAAGTGTAGTATCCACCTGACACCATGCATAGTTATTAAAATATGATTGACTATATTCCTTATTCTGTACTTTACATCCCCTTGACTGTCTTATAACTGCCAATGGTATGGTCAGTCTTTTCAATTTTAGACGTTCTGTTGGGTGTATAGTGTGTCTCATGATTTTAATTTGAGTTTCCCTTATGATTGTATTTCATATATTTATTTGCCTTTGTATATCTTTTTTGGTGAAGTGTCTGTTCAAATATTTTGACCACTTTTAATTGGATTGTCTTCTCATAATTGAATTATAAGAGATCTTTATTCTAGTACAAGTCTTTTGTCAGATACATGTTTTGCAACTATTTTCTCTTTGTGTTTGGTTTGCCTTTTCATTTTCTTAATCGTGTATTTTGAATATCAAAACATTTCAATTTTACTAAAGTCTAGATTCTTGATTTTTAAATTTTTAGTATCAACTTTAAGAAATCTCCACCCTGGCCCATGTGACTTGGTTAGTTGGAATGTCATCCATACACCAAAGGGTCACAGGTTCAATCCCAGGTCAGGGCGTGTATGGAAGCAATCAGTTGATGTATCTCTCTCTGCCTCCCTTCCTCTCTTTAAGGTCAACAAATTTTTTTTTTTTTTTTTTAATCTTTGCTAAACCCATGATCATTGAGATTTTCTCCTATGCATTCATCCTAAAGGTTTATAGTTTGCTCTTAATATTTAGTTCCATGAGCCATTTTGAATTACATTTTTGTGTGTTTATGGTGTGGGGCAAAGGTCAAAATTCATATTTTGCATTCAATTGTCTAAGTAGAATTTGTTGAAGAGACTTCCCCAATGGTATTGTTTTGGCACCTATGTTGAAAGTCAACTAATTTATATCTGGGTTTACTTACTTGTGTGTTTTCTGTTCTGCTCCATTGATTTATTTGTCTTTATGCCAATACCATACTATCTTGATTAATGTAACTTTATAATAAGACTTTAAATAAAACTGTGAATCCTCCAATTTTATTGTTTTATGAACTTTTTTGGGGGTGCTATTCTGGAAGAGTTTATGTAAAATTTTTATTATTTCTTTTTTACATATTTGGTAAAATTCAGCAGCGAAGCTACCTGGCTCTACAATTTCCCTTGAAGGAAAAATTTTAATTATGAACAGTTTCTTTAATAGATATGGGGCCATTCAGGTTATCTATTTCTTTTTAAGATTTGGTAGTCTGTTTCTTTCAGAGAATTTATACCCATCATTGAAGCTGTGGATTTTATTGTCATAAAGTTGTTCATAATATTCTCTTATCTTTTTAATATAGTAGAGTCTGCAGTGATGTCCCCTATCTCATTTCTCATATTAGTTATTTGTGTTTGTTTTCTCTCTTTTATCTTTCATATGTATGGTTAGAGATTTATCAATTTTAATGATCATCTAAAAGAACCAGCTTTGAGGTTTCTTTGATTTCTGCTTTGATTTTTATTATTTTCTTACTTCTCCTTTCTTGGGGTTTCATTTACTTTCTTTTTTATAGTTGTTTAAGGTAATTGAGGTGAGACCTCCTTTTGTTTTTAACATGGGTTTTAGTGCAATAAATTTTCCTCTAAAAACTTAAGTTGCTTCCTACAAATTTTGATATGTCATGTGTTCATGTTCATTCAATTCAAAAAACTTTCTGACTTTTGATATCTTCTTTGTACCTTGGCCTTTTTAGAAAGTGTGTTATTTAGATTCCAAGTATTTTTGGATTGTTTCGGGTATGTTACTATAGAATATTTTAAATTAATTTCAATGTAGTCATTAACATGCTTTGTATGATTTGAATCAATTTAAATTCATTGAGACTTTATTTTTATGGACCAAAAATATAGTCTTTGTTGATAAATATTCTGTGTGCACTTAAAAAAAATGTGTACTCTAATGTTGTTGGGTGTAGTGTTTTGCTAATGCCAATTAAATCACATAGGTTGACATTGTTGTTCTAGTCCTCTGTGTCTTTCCTGATATTTGTGTACTTGTTCTGTCAATTAAGAGAAGAATATTAAATTCTTAACTATAATTGTAGATTTATCTATTTCTTCATGCAGTTCTATCAATTTTTTAATTTATTGTTTGGTTTTAGAGAGAGAAGAGAGAGAGAGAAACATCAATTTGTTGTTCCACTTATTTATGCATTCATTGGTTGATTTTTGTATGTGCCCTGATCAGGGATCGAACCCACAACCTTCATGTATCAGGACAATGCTCTAACCAATTGAGCCACCTGGTCGCCAGGGCTCTATCAATTTTTGTTTTGTGTATTTTGAAGCTCTATTAGTAGATGCATGAATGTTTAAGATTGTTATGTTCTCTTGATAAATGTTATGTTCTCTTGATAAATTAGTAGATGCATGAATGTTTAAGACTATGTTCTCTTCATTGTTACGTTCTCATGGTAAACATACAGTTTTGTTCCCTTAATATCATTCTGAAGTTGTCTTCTTTATTGCTAGTAATATTCTTTTCTCTCAAATCTATTGTCTGGTATTAATATACTCACTCTAATTATTTATATAGAATTAGCATGATATCTCTTTTTTTATCTTTTTACTTTGAACAAATTTGTTTCTTTATATTGAAAGTGGTTTTGTTATAGACAGCATATAGTTAGGTCTTGCCTTTTTTTTAAATCCAATCTGAACATTTACCTTTTACTTGGTGTTTATGCAATTTAGATTAATGTCACACATTTTACTTCTACATACATTATAAACCGTGCAATGTCTATTATATTTTTTACTTTAAACTGTCAGTTATCTCTTTATAAAAAATTTTTTAAAATTATATTTACCCATCTATTTACTGATTTCAGTGCTCTTGATATTTTGTGTAGATTTCCACTTTTGTTCGGTATTATTTCTCTGAAGGACTTCCTTTACCATTTCTTGTAGAGCCCAACTGCTGGTAATAAATTCTTTTGTATGTTTGAAAAGTGTTTACTTCGCCTTCATTTCAAAAATATTTTTTTGCTGGGTATGAAATTCTAGATTGGCAGTATGTTACCTTCAGTATTTTAAAGGTGTTGCTCCACTCTCTTCTGAATTGCTTTGTTTCCAAAAAGAAGTCTGCTGTTTTTATCTTTGTTTCCTTGCACATACTGTATCTTTTTTTTCTACCTTTGGTTCCTTTAAAATTTTTCTTCTATCACTAGTTTTGAGCACTTTTTAAAATTACGTGTGTTGATGTACTTTTCTTTATATTTTTTGTACTTGAGGTTCTTTGGCTTCTTGCACCTGTGGGCTTATAATTTTCATCAAATTTGGAAAGATTTTGGCATTATTTTCAAAATATTTTTCTTTCTCTCCTCCTCCCCCTACCCCCTTTTTCATGGACTCTAGTTACACATAGATTAAGCTACTTAAATTTCTTCAGCTCACTGATTCTCTATTCATTCTTTTTTCCCCCTAGTCTGTCCTTCATTTTGTATAGGTCCTATTCTTTTATCATCAACTTCACTAATATTTTGCAATGTCTAATGTGGTGTTAATCCCATCCAGTATGTTTCCATTTCAAACATTGTAGAAGTTTGGTTTGTGTCTTTTTTTTTTAATTTCTAAATTTTATTTTTATTTAAAATTTTACAGATGTCCCTTCTTCTCCCCAATGACCCGTTCCACCCCGTCCCATCCCCCTCCCCAGTCCCTCTCCCCACCGCTATCCGTGTCCTTGGGTTGTGCATATATGCATATAAATTCTTTGGTTACTCTCTCCCCCTCCACTCACCGGCCCTCCTCCATCCCTCTGACATTCGTCAGCATCATCTATGCTTCCATGTCATTGAATCTATTCTGTTCATCAGTTTATTAAGTTCTTTAGATTCCACGTATAACCGAGATCATGTGATGTTTGTCTTTCTCTGCCAGGCTTATTTCACTTAGCATAATTTTCTCCAGGCCCATCCACACTGTCCCAAAGGGTACGAGATTCTTCTTCTTCACAGCTGCGTAGTATTCCATGTGTGTAAATGTCCCATAGTTTTTTTTTATCCACTCATCTACGGATAGGCACTTGGGCTGTTTCCAGATCTTAGCTATTATAAACTGTGCTGCTATGAACATTGGGGTACATATATTCTTTCTGATGAATGTTTCAGGATTCTTAGGCTACATTCCTAGGAGTGGAATCACTGGCTCAAAAGGCAGCTCCATTTCTATTTTTTTGAGGAACCTCCATACTGTTTTCCATAGTGGCTGCACCAGTCTGCATTCCCACCAGCAGTGTACTAGGATTCTCCTTTCTCCACACCCTTGGGAGCACATGTCATTTGTTGATTTGTTGATGGCAGCCATTCTTACAGGTGTGAAGTGATACCTCATTGTGGTTTTTAATTTGCATTTCTCTGATGATTAGCAATGTTGAGCATTTTCTCATGTGTCTCTTGGCCATCTGTATGTCCTCTTTGAAGAAGTGTCTATTCAAGTTCTTTGCCCATTTCTTAATTGGGTTGTTTGTCTTCCTCTTGCTGAGTAGTATGAGTTCTTTGTACACTTTGGAAATTAGCCCCTTATCAGATACAT